TTGTTTTTTCTGTTTTCTTTTTGAATTTGTAGGTCTCAGGAATTGAATCGTATTTACGATTCCAATGGAACAAATTATGACCATGGAATATTAGTGTTTAAGCGCTATTATTATATATATATATATATATATATATTTATTAAAGATATTTTTTTATGTTTAACGTTGTTATTTTATATGCCTGAATTTTCTAAATGAAATTTTCAAACAGTATTAAATGTTATTTAATACTGTTTATCATAAACAGAGCATTTGCTTAAATACTTGTATCTATAAAATAAACAACGTTAAACATAAAAAAAAAATGTCTTTAATAAATAAATTGTCGGACCTTGTCCATTTCTTTAATATATATATATATATATATATATATATATATATATATATATATATATATATATGTTGACGCTGACTTCAACTTCAATTCGAGATTGTTTGATGATTGAATGTAATGTTTTCTTTCACTTTCCTTTTTCTTTCTTTCGTTCGTTTGATCTTTCTTTCAGTTTTTCCTTCTTTACTTTTTCGATGCAGTTTTCACTGTCTAAAAGAATATGTTTTTTTCTTTTTGTCTTTCTGTCAGTTTTTCTTGCTCCATGTAAGGGTCAATTTCGGAAGTTTGTTTTCTTTCTTTCTCTTTCTTTCTTTCTTTCTTTCTTTTCATTAATTTCTTTCAGGCAATTTTCATCATCTAAACATTTACCCTCTCGTTTCTTTGGGTTTTTTTTCTTTCGTTTGCTCCTCTTTTCTGTTTTCTTCGCTCGTCTCGATGCAGTTGTCACTATATAAAAGAATATTTACTTTGTGAACGCAAAAGATATTGTTTTCGTTTTTAAACTTTCTATTCTTTCCACCATCTAAACGTTTTCCCACTTTATTTCTTTTTTTTTATTACGTTTGATTCTTTTTCATGTTACTTTTTTTTTAACTTTTCGATGCAAATGTCACAATAAAAAATAAAATAATTTTTTTTTCTCAATGCAACTGACCCTTTCTAAAGGCTATTTCCTTTCTTTCTTTCTTTCTTTCTTTCTTTCGTTTTTTGAAGCAATTTTCATCATCTAAATATTTTCCCTTTCTTGTGGCGTGTAGACCGGGTTCTATAGCCTTGGATTGCAACTGGGCTACCGCAGAAAGATATAAAATCCAGGCAACATACTGCGGGAAAAAAAAAAAATCTGCCTCGTCAGTCATGTATCGAAAGATACATGATCGCCTAAGCGTGTATCACGCATAGCACGTAACTGATCCTCATAATGTGCAACCAATAACGCACTATCTTGAGTGGAACAGAGTCTTTGTTCTTTGTGAATAATAGAAGCCAAAAGGATCTGCCGGATTATCCGTTGTGTCGGACCAACAGAGGTTGCGCAGTAACAGTTCTATAATATTTCTCTGGCCCAATAATCATGCCTCCGTCTAATTATACACAGTATTGGCCTTTCGAGAATGCTATTAAACTATTCTTAAATGCTGGCTAACACCAATATCAAGTTGAAACAACGGTTCCTCTAAGATCACAGAAGTTAAGCAACTGTTGAATCTGGACAGCACCTAAAAGGGTGACTGCCTTGAAATATCACGTGCTGTTAGCTTCGATGTGCTAGTGGTGTAATGGATAAAGACTCGGGAGTATTAAGCGGGAGTATTGGGAGCATTGAGGGTGATATGCCGTAAAACCAAATCAAACCAAACCAAGCCAAGCCAAGCCAAACCAAACCAAACCAAACCAAACCAAGCCAAACCACAAGTTACCTCTGTTATATAGCAATGAAAATTATTTCGAATTTAAGGTGTTAACGCATAACACATCCATAGATATGCAACACCTGAAAATAATTCCAGAGGAGAATGAAAGTACGTGGGAAAATAAAAAATTATTTGAAATAAAATTTTGGAATTTTTCTTTCTCATTTTTTTGAAGAAATTAATCCGTGGAAAGGATAAAAATTAAAATAGACATAATACGTCTGAATTATTTAACCAAACATGCTGGAACACACACACACGCACGCGCACACACACACACACACGCACGCGCACACACACACACACACATATATATATATATATATATATATATATATATATGGTAGAGCTTTGACAAAGTACGATGCTGTTAATAACTTAATATGCGGTTTCTGTCTGAAACATCTGCAGAAAGCGCTCTGGTCTCAAGCGTCAAATGAAAAGACTCTAGGAAACTGAACAAAATTTGCAAAACAAGTTAGACGCGATACTCGACAACTTAATTTTCCACGTCTGCAATAAGAATTGCAAGACGACCTCATGAAAACTAAATATAAATAAACTTGTCAGCGAAGGTAATATTGATTTAAAAAGACCAGCCGTCGACGAGTGATTGAAGAAAAGTTTCATACGACCCACTGCCTAAAAATATGGTACATGAGACTATTTTTGAAAAGGTGCTTTTTGATCCGACTGGGAACTTTTTAGTCCTCACTATATATATATATATATATATATATATATATATATATATATATATATATATATATATATATATAAATCATTTCACACCAAACAAAGCTGTAAAGCCACTATGAAACTCAGTACGAACGAATAAGAAAAAAAACTTTATTAAGGAGTGAGAACAATACAAGAGTAAACGAGAAGATAAAAGATAACGATTGACATTGCATTATAAATATATATATATATATATATATATATATATATATATGTTTTTAAACTCACATATAGAATCCAAGCAAAGTTCTGAAGAAATTTCCAAATGGAAAAGCGTTTCATTGAAACTCACTTTGATTATGCGTTTTCCTTTCTAGGCTTCATCAAATTCAAAAACGAAATAATAATTATACATACATATATATATATATATATATATATATATAGATAATATTAGGAAAATATACATACATATGCAAAATATATATAAAAAATTTTCATACATGTATATTTTCATAAAAAAAAAAAAAAAAAAAAAATTTCCAAGAGGAAGGATCCAGGTAGAACTCAATGTCTAGGACAGAGTAAGGATATAATAAAAAGAGTGTTTAAGTTTTTATTATATATATATATATATATATATATATATATATATATATATATATATATATATATATATATATACACCAGAGTAAACAAACAGTATAATATTTGTTAACATTGTACGCATTAAAAGTGGTCAATATCAAATTTGAAGACCAGACTTGCAGAGGTGTTTCATATTTCATATATATATATATATATATATATATATATATATATTAAATTTACTACTTAAAAAATATGGTTCTTTCACGTAAATTAGTAAATTTATAATGTTTATGCTCTGTAGATTTGCATTGTGCACTGTTTTTAGAAATAAAAAATATTAATAAGAACACTGGATTATATATATTACTGTTCTTTCTCCTTATTATTATTATTATAATATATATATATATATATATATATATATATATATATAATGTTTAGAAAAATGAATGCTAGCCAGAACCAACGACATAGTTTCGTTCCACTACTGTCTCCTCAGGTATATATCTTCAGGTACGAAACCAACGACATAGAACTTATTATTTATATAAGCGACTTAATTACATCTTCGTTTGTAAATTACACGAATGAACGACTTATTTAGATTTAAAAGCAAAGTTCAAAGTAAAAAAAATAAAAAAAAGTAATTTTTTTAATTTTATCCGGCTTTAAATTTATATATATTTAAATATAATTTTGTATTAATTTCCTGGTAGTATATATATATATATATATATATATATTTATATATATATATATATATATATATAATTTAAAAAATTGCTTAAAAATAATTTATATGTTTAA